AGGTTTTGACCCTTCCTTCCCCTTATTCCCCTAGCTAATTTATTCCACAGAGATCATCATCTTCACGCGAGTCAGAAGAATTTTTCTATTCTGTTTTCAGAGCGTTGCAGAAGATCAACCAAATGTATCCTAAAGAAGCACACTAACTGGGAAGCATGTTTAAAGCAGCACACAAAGATCTTAGAATAGTTTGTTTCAAGGATGTTTACCTTTTCTATTATTATCCTCACAAATAACATCAACCAGTCTTTTTTTTATGGTCTTCAAGTTAGAAAAATCATCAACAGCATATTTCCTACTTGATGATCCAGTTATCTGTGTCAGCTGGGACTGATCAACGTTTCCCACACCTATGGCATATATATCAACACCTTTCTTCCTCAGGCTTTCTGCTGCTCTTGTAGCTCTACTGGTTGTTTTTCCAGCAATGATTACCAGTAAAATCTGTTGGATATTTTCATGTATTCTGCTGCCCTTTTCTGGTCGGAAGTTGAGTTTGACTTTCTCAAGTGCATTTTCAATATTTCTTTGGTATCCTTTAATTTGTTTGATGCTTTGAATTTTAAATTCTAGTTCTGATCTGTTTGGAAAAATGCTTAGGTTGAACTCTTCTTTATAGACATCACTGTACAGTGCAAAGCCAATTCTGGTATTCTGAACAGCAACACCTGGATTGATTACACTTATCACAAAGTCCATCATTATCCTGAAGTTTTCTTCATCTATGTGTCTGGAACCATCTATTAGGAAAATAACATCTGCTTTCTTTGGACAGGCTGCAGAAGATAAAGAAAAATATATTATTACAAAGTACACAATTCTATGTCTATAATCAGTGACCTTGCCTCTACCTCCCACATCCTACTAGTCACACTGACAAAAAAACCTCCCAACAAATAGACCTACAAAAAGAAAGTTAAGCACATAAAAGCTAATGTACATGGAAATTCAGACATCTAGTCCCAGAGCACAAAACATACTCCTGTAAGCATGTACGTTGCAGAGTAACCATAGCTACATTTCCCTCTTACCTACTGAGCAAATAAAATTACATTGGCCCAACCGAATGCCCACAGGGCAAGGGTGCATTCCATCTCAGCCTCATGCAAATATCTAAAGAGGTCAGGTGACTGACACCCTAAAAGTGCCTATTTCTCTCCATGCTACTTAGAAAGGGAAACTACAGTGACTAGACATGACAGCTATAGACAGCTAAAGCTAAGTAAGATAAATCCCATCCTACGTGCAACAAAACTGAGACTCTTCAGGATTCGTAGATGAGGTGTCTCCCCTGTCAGAGCACCAAATTGCTCTCAGTATGCTTACCACAGCCCAAACTGATCAACTTCCAAATAAAGCACAGCAGCCGTCGCTACTTCCATTACGAAAGACATCAGAAGGAGAAGGTAGGAAAGAGTACCCACTACAAGAGCTGAACCGAACAAGCAGGAAACAGAGATGATTGTAATTTAAATCGCATTAATCAGAACAGACTGTGTTTTCTGTACCTATCTGACAGATGCCTTCGCAAGACTTTCCTTCAAACACAATTGCTGAGGAAGAAGTTGAACACAACACCCAATAGTGAGTATATACTTACCTGGTACCGAAATCTCACACACATCATTTGTTATATTTTCATTTAAGTTCTTAAGTCCTTCAAAGGTATCCACATAGAAACATTTGTCCTCTGATCCAGCCATTGTCAGAAGCTCATTTCGATTTGCTCCTTCTACTCCAACTGCATAGATGGTAATTCCTTTGTTCCTTAATCTCTGGGCCACATCATCCAGCATAGCTTTATCAGTGGATTCCCCATCAGTTATCACTATCAGCACCTGGGGAACTCCTTTGCTCTTGCGGCTGCCATGTTCTTCAGTGAAGAACGTTTCTGAAAGGACCAGTGCCTTTGCCGTATAAGTTGTTTGTCCTATAGGGTCATCTCTCTGGATAGCCTTAGTTATCTCCAGTTTTGTAGCATACTTATTGAGGTAGAAGAGCACTACTGGTTTGTCAGAATATTTTAGTGCTCCAAACTGAACTCTATCTGGGCCAACATCAGACTGGTTTACCAGGGCAATTATGAAGTCTTTCATTGCCTGGTACTGTGAGGAGCTTATGCTTCCAGAGCTGTCCATAACAAACACAATGTCTAAACGTTCCACTCTTCTGCATTCTGTAAAACCAAATTGTGAAAAGTGAAGATTTCATGTGTAAAATTATGCAGAATCTTACTGATTATTATAACTCAGGTCCACTTCTCAGAGTTCTATGCAATGTCTGTATAACTCTGCTAACTGAATGGTGTTGGATAACTCTGTTACTATCAATAAGTGCACATATGACAGATTCTTGTAGCTTCTGAGACTTCTGTGTGAACTTCACGATTCCTGTAATCAGAGCAGAGTTAGACTAAACTGAATGATTTCTTATTTACCAAAAATGCTATCCTTTTGCTTTGGACACCACAGTACAGGGCTTATAGAGCGAACAGAAACTGTCATATTTCTGTTGATATTGTGGAAATATTCCTATCAGCTTACAATATCTAAAGCTATCCTTCCACAGGGTATGAATATTAACTGAAACTTCCCCCGTCTTGCATACAGAACATTTCGTCAGTTCATATTTAACGTCTAGCAGAAAAAATCCAAAGGTTTATTTCATATCTGAATTAAACACAGCAGTGGGTTTGCCTCCTACAGTCTCAGTGTGATAAATTAGTGCTTTGAGGAGCTGGGCTAACACCCTTCATCCAGCTCACTCCCTGGTGGGAGAACAGTTTGGTCCCTCTGAAGGGCAGTGTTCTCCCAGTTGCAGACATACAGAGCAGCACAGATTACAGCTGGTGACTCATTATATTTCAAGCTTCCCTGTTTACACCTGATCTTTCTCACTACATAAGCTACTGATATCTTTTTCAAAACTGCTGAGAAGAAAAAATGATGCTTAGTTTCTTGGCTAATTGCAGTTGTACTTAAAAACTCTCCTTAGTTACAAGTTCTGTATTGCAGCAGTGCAAAGACATAGCCACATGTCTGAACTGTTTGGACCTCTTAGGACTCTGAATAAATCACCCTTGCATGCTTTATCCTTGCTCTTGTCTCCACTCTCCCCATGGCCTCCACCCCCTCACCCCTATGTGTAGAAAGCGAATTTTGAAAGCTCAGAAACTGGATGCTGGGTAGACTTCAGTACTGAACTCAACACTTAACCCCATCTCTTCTAAATGACTGCAATTTCCATGACTGAAGCAGCAACTTTGAATCGAGTTTCAGCAAGCTATTCTATGTTCTACCTTTATACAGCAGAGAGAGACAAAAAGTACACACCATTTAAAGTCTTTTGCACTATCACAGCAATACGGTATGCCTTAAGTACAACTGAATCAGACAACACATAGCTTCTAGTCAAGTCTTTTTTAAAATCCTACCTCATGTTCACAAGTGCGGCTGACATCCATGAGAACCCACAGCAGCAGGACACCCCACCTGCTTCTTTTTGCAGCCTGATCACTTTCCCCATTTACACCCTCAGCTAAAGGTATCATCCCAAGAAAAAAAATCAATCCAGTTCACTTAGTTGCCCAGGTCTGTAAAGATTATAAATACTGTATGCAACCTTGCCTGCCACTGTTGTTTAATATAACCACATTCATTTAATCTGTGGAGGGGTGTGGGGTGTGTGTGTGTGTGGGGTGTGGATAATTAAAGAAGAGAATGGCTTGAATTCTTCATTGGTTATGTCCAGGAAGGGCAACATCTGGTAGGAAGAATAAATTTCATGTGGGGTTACAAATGTACTCTTGCCAAAGACACTGAATGCCCCCTGGCCCCAAAGAATTGCATTCAGTGACAGTGTGGGCCCTTCCAACACTGCTACTCAGAAAAAGACAAGACTGAGTCATCAGAAGGTCCCTTTCTTGCCCCTGTGTGGAGTCCACAGAAAGAGGAGCTGAAAGGCATGCATAATGAGATGACAGACTTCAAAGGAAGGCATCAGTGAAGCCTTTTCTCTGTAAGCTTTATTTATTCTATGTAAAGACCTATACTTTTCCAAGCAGGTGTCTAATCTCACACACCCAAGGGAAAGGATCAGAGGCACCTGTGCTCAGCCAGACCTCCAGGGTGTGAACAGAGAGTGGTTGCAGCCCTGTGACACAGAGTGGTACCCTGGGAGACCTGCAAAGCATCCCCCTCAGAGACAGAGCAGTGGGAAGCAAAGAATTTGTGTGGGATGAAGTAACAGAGAGTAACCAGGAACAGAGAGGCAGCCAGCTCTGTGACTGCAACACTTGATCATAACAAGTTCAGAACAAAAATCCTATGATTGCTCATGAACTAATAAATTATTGAAAGTTACCATACTTACTACTATCAGGAGGGCTACTGCAAATGTCAAAAATGAGGTCGCTTTTTATCTGGCTTAGAATATCAAAATTTTCAACATAGAATACCATCTCACGCTTCCCACTAATCTCTTCAAGCTGAGTTTTGTTTGCATTAAAAACTCCAACAGAGTAGATTATAATGCCTTTATCTTGGAGCACTTTGGCAGGAGCTTTAACTTCATCTTGTGATTCCCCGTCTGTGATCAGGATGAGAATTTTTTTAACTTCGTCACGTGAGCCGCTGCTGGCTTGAAAGTATTTAAGCATGAACTTCAGTGCTTCTCCTGTCAGTGTGGTTGATTGAAGGGGAGATATCCTATCGATAGCACTGAGGATATCTCTTTTGGTGGAGTAGGTGTTGAGCTTGAATTCTTCCTTTGGTTTGTCACTGAATTGGACCACACCAATCTGCACTTTGTCTGCACCAACATCTGTTCTGTTCACCAGCTCTCTCATGAAGTTTAGCATTTTCAGAAAATTCTCATCTCCAATGCTTCCAGAACTGTCCACTAGAAACATGATATCAGCTTTCACTTCTTTGCAGGCTGTCAAGGGAAAACAGTTTTTTAAGCTTAGGTTTTTCTACATTTTTTTGAGAAAAACCACAAACAGGTTAAGCACACAGAATAACCTCAGAAACGGAAAAGAAAGAAAAAAATTCAGCATAAGCCTTTTCAAACTCTAGATTTTATTAGTTCATTGATAAGTTATGACTGTAACTAAAATACTTTATTCTCTCAAATCTGAACAAGGGCATTATTAACTTTATCAGTTGCAATTCGATCAGTCAGCATTAAATCACAGCCAAGCAACTGAAGCAGTGTCTTAAGATCAGCAAGGAATTTCTAAAATAAAAATCTAAAACCTGCTGCTGGTCAAGATTTGGAGCCTGAGAAACCTGAAAATTTTCTCTTTGTTTCAGTGAGGTAGGAAACAGCAACTTGTTTTACAGAAAGAGGTGAGCTAAACAATAGATAGTTACAAACGAACAGCCTGCACACTGGTAGGTCACATTCAAGCACATTTTTTCATTAATCTTTTATAGGGTTGTAAGAAATAAACTAGGGGGGGGGGTATTAGTGCAACACAACCTTCACCTGTTTCCTGGTGAATGCTGGCCAAAAAGCTACAGTTTAGGGAATACTTATTTCTACATCATTACTTTAAATTGTAAAACTGTCTTATTTTGACTTTGGCACATCTCAATTCTAGAATTCTGTTTGAGGGATATGCTGTGCCTATCTACACCTGATAAAAAAGACTGGTCTGTTTGAGTTAAGGAAAAAAGCAGGTTCAATAAAGAGAGATATGCTCCAAACTAGATACATTCACAGACCTACTTGTTCTACAGTGATTTGTGATTTTGGGTGCCTTTGACATTGGTAGCTCAATTTCACAGAATCATGGAATCATAAAATTGTTTGGGTTGGAAGAGACCTTTAAAGATCATCTAGTCCAACGCCCTGCCATGGTACGGGCACGGACATCTTCAACTAGATCAGGTTGCTCAAAGCCCTGAGGAACCTGACCTTGAAGACGTCCAAAGATGGGGACTTTGGAGAACTCTCTGGGCAACCAGGGAATAAAGTCTGTAATATACAGGCAAGGGATGTATTATTCATTATTCATGAAACAATTTCTCCGTCAAATCAAAAGGAATCTGTTTATTTTCTGTGTTGTCAGGACAAAGTGAAAGCATGGTCTTACCTTCTACGGTACAGATCTCTCTGACAACTTCATTTTTAATATCTTTCAGCAAATCAAAATCATGTACAAAGTACACTTTGTTTTTCACTCCTGCAATCTCATGAAGCTGAGTTATGTTGGCTTCCCCCACGCCGATGGCATAAACATTAATCTGGTCTTCCCTGAGTTTCATGGCTGGTTCCTTCACACTGTCCTGTGACTCTCCGTCTGTGAGAACAACTAGATGGTGAGGCACTGTAACTCCTCGCTGCTTCCTGGCCTTTTCAAACAATGGCTTCATGTAAGTTAGAGCTCCCCCTGTATTGGTATTTCCACCTACTTGCCGAATATTTTCAATCCCTTTTATCAAGTCACTTGCTGAAGTGTATTTACCAAGCTCAAACTCTAGTTCATTAAAATGTGAGAACTGCACGAGTCCAAATCGAACTTTATTCATTCCTATGTCAAACAGCCTAATAATTTCCTTCAAAAAATTCTTCATATCCACAAAATCGAAGTAATCAAGACTTGATGAACCATCAACGAGCAAGTAAATATCAGCTTCTTCTGTGTTCAGGCACCCTACACAGAATGAAAAAGTCTCCGTTAGATCACCATTATGCGCATGGACAGATCACCTATCTCCACTCCTTTTGTAATACATCTGGTAACAAAATAGTTGGCAAACTTAACCTGCTAGGTATCTCAGGCATGGCAGCAAGAAACAAAACACTATTTATCCACGGCTGTATGACTGCTTTCCCCACAGAAAACAAAACTCATAGCTTGGAGTTTTCAATCACATCTGAAATGATTTTAAGCAACTACCTCCAGCAATTCCCAGATTTCTCAGTACAACTTATAACAACCACAAGAATTCACCATGCATCACTATATAGCCATGTTAAACATTTAATCAGTATGACTGATTTTATTGTTGAATAAGGTTCCAGCAGCAGTTCACTTAATGTTCTGATCATCCACAGTAGGAAACCACTGACTTTTAGAGCTCTTAGGCATAAATTCACTAGTAATTTTTCATAAAATATCTAAGGCTACTCTATTGCTATTACTACCTCTAGACAAGTCTGAAATCTTCAGCCACTTCACTTTCCTGGGACATACACCCTCATGGCTTAATATCTGCCAAAACCCCCATGATGTACACATTCCCATTTATTTTCTAGGTTTGATCAAAATCAAGGGTAAACTGACTGGAAGGTTAACATTCCAAGGGAAATCTCATTCAGATGCAGCATCTTCCAACAGATCAAGTTCTAACAGTGCCTTAGTTGTTTTTTTGACTTACTCTCTAACAGGAACAGTTGATGTTTCTGACAGTATTAGTCCTTCCTATTAAATAATGGTAGAAATAAACAAGCTTTCAATACTACTGAACTTTGGCAGTATGCTAATGAGTAAAATGTGAACCCATATTCAACTTTAAATATAAATTCCTTTTCTCAAAGGTTCAAACTCAAACGTTCAGTTCGAGAACCTGAGAAGGTTCAGGATAGTCTTCAGTTAAAACTTCTTAACCTGGAAAGAACCAAAGTTATTTGGAAAGCTTTACCTGTTTTGAGAGTCTCTTTTCTTTCAGAGCGGACATACAGCATGTTTTCTATTTGATTCAAGAGCTTCTTTTGAAAAATTTTATTTTGTGTTTGCAGATCAGGAAACACCTTGAGACTGGTAACATACTGCTCTTGAGGATAAGAGGCTATCTGGACCAGTTGTTGATCAGAAGCGTCTTCAACACCTATGGCAAACACTGTCACACCACTTCTCCGCAGAAGAGTAGCAACATCACTCACATTGTCTTGAGAGCTTCTGTGGGTAACCAGAACAGCTATTTGCTCTACCCCTTGCTTCTTTCTGCTCCCAGCAATTTCAGTAAAGAGTTTTAGCCTTGTGACATTAATAGCTGCACCAGTATTGGCTTTTCCTGACCCAGCAGAAAGGTCCTGTATTATCCGCAGAATTTCAACTTTGTCTGTGTCTGTGTTCAGATGTGACATCACTTCTTGTCCATCAGTGTACATCACCAGGCCAATTCTTATGCATTTCTCCTTCACATCAAACGAGGATGTTAGGTTTTGCAGGAATTTTTTTAATTCTTCAAAGTTTGACTTCGAAGTACCATGATCAACTATAAACACAATGTCAGCAACCAAGTCTCCATCACATACTATAGTGGAAAAAGGATGAGAATAAAGTGATGTTAGCAGCCATCTTCTATGCTATTTCTATAATTAACTAGCTATGGACTGTTGTTGGTTTTTTTCCTAAGACACGGTTTTCTGCTTTATTTAAAGTAAAACAAGTTTGTAAAACTGTTTTTTAGCCAAAGATGACAAGCTACTGAAAGTCAAAGTGATAAAACTTCATTTTAAGTTAAAATAACCAAAAGATCAGAAAAACTAGGGGATATAATAGCAGAAGTGTTTATGGTTTTTATATTCTTGTAACTTCAACTCTTGCTTGTATTTTCTAGTGTATTGATCCAGAAGATGCATATGTAAGGATACTAGTTGGACCATGCATGCTAAAAATCTTCAGTTATAGGGGATTTTATTTATTTTTTAAATCACTTATATGTATAAAAAAAAAGAAAAATCCCAATACACAAACCTATTCTCAGTGCTACATGAAAAGTATAAGGTTCTCAGCCGTACCATTTTGGTAATGGAGAGTCTAATATAATTCCTTTAATTCACACTTACCAAAGGTCCTCAAAGACTATTCATTAATTTACTAATTGTGAAGGGTTCACAGCTTCATAAGGAGTTGTATTTCATTAACACATACTGGTTGTACCAATTACCAACTAGTAAAAGCAAAAAAAAAGAGACTTCTTCACCTCCATTCCTTTTAGTATCGGAGAGTACAAGTGCCTAACGCACATCTACACATGTAAAAGCACCAAGTTTTGAAAATAATGCCAAGTGCAAAACTTCATGGGCATGAGAGTATGTCCGTCCCATCCATGTTCCTGCTTCCCTATTTTAAAACATGCTAAGGCTAGGCAAGATATTTAAAACTCTGGCCAATACATTCCTATTCTTTGTTTTTCAGCAGCCTATGTGTCATGAACGCTACACAGGTTGCTGGAGATGAGAAGGTATGTGAGGCCTAGAGTGGCTAGCATCATACTGAAGGTCTAAGTCCTTAAATGTCATCTCCCACATCATTGATTTTCTTACCTTCTACTTCTTTAATACTATCCATTTGGAACTTCGCAATAATATTGGAGACATTTTTAGAAAACATAGGGAGGTCCTATTCCTTAGGAAAATAATACGAGAATGACTGCATAGCCATTGACCTCAGTTGTTCTCTCACAGCTTCATGTATCCCGAGGGCTATCACTTCTACTCCATTGTCTTGTAACATTTTGGCTGACTCTTCCACATCATCTTCGGAAGGCAAAGATGACAGAACCACTAAAATCTGATTTCTATCTGGTCTATTAGCCAGTTCTTTGAAATACCTTTCATAAACGTAATGGAGGGCATTGCCAGTTTTTAGTGGCCCACCTTGCAACGCTTGCATTTTTTGCACATGCATCAACAAATGCTTCTTCGTTTTATTTGGGTCCAGTTCAAACTCTTCATGAACATAATCATTGTACTGGACAAGTGCAAGACGGTATTGGTTAGATTCCAGTGGCAGATTGTATACCAATTTGCTAATAAAGTCTTTCATGTAAGGAAATGAATAATTTTCTGTGTCCTGTTGGCCAGCAAGCAACAGGACAATATCTGTAGTATCTCCACACAAAAACATATCATTAACAATTTTTAATTAAATATCCAAACACAAAGAACACAATGTTGAGGCAATAAAGTAACATAGTGCTCACTCAGCAATAGTCCAGGAACAAAAATAGAAAAGCTTAAACAGTTTCTATACCTAGAAGCTGTTCTACATAGTTTTTAGTTTTTTAAAAGCCTTTTTACTGTTAATAACATTTAACTAACGGGGTTCTAGACAAATGTTGATTTGCCCACCATCTGAAATTCTTGCTGACTTCAACAGAGGCTGCCACATCCATGATTCCTCAAAATCAGCCTATAACTTCATTTTGAGGAAATTATAAGATCTTACATTCTTATTAAGGAAATGAATTCTTCACATTACTCCTAGTAAGGAAAATGCTTTCAAGTATTCAATTTCTGAATTTGAATACTTGAAAGTAATGTATTTACTGTGCCTTCTTTCCATTACAAGTATCAAGACCCTGGACTTAGTTCATATTTCAAAATATTTCACATTTTGAAATATTTCATATGTCAAAATCCAGCACAGAAGTTCTGCTCCAACTAACTAATTCCTCACAGACCCTTTAATACCAGTTGTTACAGAAATGGAAACAAATTTTTCAAAGAACAGAATAAAACACACGACAAATCTGCAAAATCCATCATTCGGAAGTTGGCAGGTTCAGAACCACTTGTCAGCACATATTTTGCCACCCATACACCCTGTTTCTGCATAACACAGAATTCCCATGGGAAAAATTAGGAAGTCATTAAAGATAAGCCTGTAGTTAACATGCAAAAGGGAGTACGATTTAACATTGCTCAGAAAACTTTCAGTTTATGCTTTCCTACCTTTGCAGTGATTGTTTTGGCGACCTTAACTTTCTCTCTGTGTGATGTTTGTCTAATACAGGAGAATTCATATTTTCACTAACTAAGTTTAGAGTTATCTGAGACTTTCTACTGAAAAAGCTGAGTGATTTCTTTTTTTTTTTAGTTTTATCTAGGTTTAGGAAATTTGCATACAATTAAAAATTAGTATTTCTTTTACTTTGCAGCTCTTACCAAGGAGAGTTCAGGCAGTTGAATGAAAGAACTGCCAGGCAGAAATGCTCAAAGTAGTAAAAGTCGCACTGCCCCCAAGCAGCACAACCACACAGGGGTTGCTTGAAACGGGACATGAGATCACCTGGCATGATTACTCTCTTTCTCCTCTAACAAATCATAACTCTTCCCCTCCTTCCCTTCCTAATGTCCCTCTGGATCGCAGAAAATCTCCAGGAAAATAACATTTATTCCATGTAAGGAATGCATGGTTCAGGACCCTCTATCTGACAAATGTTTTAAAAGTAAGAAAAAGCTGCCCTAATCTCAGAGTAGTATCTTCTAATTTCCTGCAAATGCATTCATCCTGTGGAACTCTAGTACCGTAAATGGAAATATGAAAATTATACACTGTCATAATATCTGTAAGAAGTTCCCTATATCAGCAAGGTTTACAGAAATTTACTGTGCTGCTCAAGAGCCTGCATGTCTGTTGACTCTCTTACAGCTCTCACTGAAGATATAGTTAGAGAAGAAATATGGCTTGCATTACAGCTTCAGTGCACAGTCTACTGCATATGCCAAAAACTGTACTTCAGAAATGCAATACATACACGTAAAAAGCAGGAGGAGTCTAAAGAGGGGAGAGAAAAGATTGAGACTACAAAAAATCTTCTCATTTTATCTGTCACAAAGCTATTGCCTTAGTCCAGCTGCATGGTAAAGAGCCCACTCCACCAAGCAAAAGCCCACAGGTGATGTTGTGCTCTTTCCTTTTCTTTCTCTTCTCTCTGTACAGACCACACAATATAAATTACAGATCACACATGCAATATTGAACTAGTGGTCAGAACCTGATTATCTAGCCACAAGCCCAGATGAAATATTTGCTAAATGATGTTGCTTTTTTAATGCTACACAAAAGTTATCTTAACATTAGAAATACAATGCTATATTGTCCAATTTTTCTGATGGATATTTTTCATCAGAATACTGAAAATTATTGTTAGACTCTATGGGATTGACATGAAGTAGCACAGCTTACCTTCTTGCACAGCTATGTCATTGTAATCAGGTATACTTATTAAGTCGCTGATGTTTACTCGGATAATATCATCAATGATCTCTGGCATATGTTCTGAGAATTTAGGCAGCTCCTCTATCAGTGGTTTGTAATGAAATGACGGGGTGGCCATCTCAAAAAGTTCGTTATATGGAGAGTCTTCTGTCCCTATAGCTATTATCTTTACTCCAAGACTCTGCAAGCTTCTGGCAGCTTCTTGAACATCATCTTCTGAGGGTGCAGATGTCAAAATCACAATGATTTGTTGCTTTATTTTTTCATCTGCTGACTTTTGGAAAAAGGTTTCATAAGCCTCATTGAGGGCATTTCCAATTTGCACTGAACTCCCACCAATAAGTGTAAAGTCTCTCCTGATATGATTCACCATAGGACCCTTTCTTCTGTAAGTATCCAGCATAAATTCAATGGACAACTCATCACTGTACTGAGCAAGCGCCAGCCGAAACTGGTTAGGCCCTATTGGTAGGCTGTCAATCATACGGATCATAAAATTTTTCACATAGGGGAGAGATGAATGTCCCATAGCGTCGGAGCCGTCAACTAAGAGGACAATGTCTGTAGGGACTGAAACACAGAAAACAGTTTGCTATATTGCCTTTCTCTTCTGGAGCTATAACACAGTCAGACATTGCAACCGTCAAGAAACGAGACTTGGAAAGAAATTCTGCACCTCAGTTAAGTGTGCTAGTGGCCACATAGGAAAATGGATGCCTGCAGATAGAATCATAGAATCATTCAGGTTGGAAAAGACATTTGAGATCATCAAGTCCAACCATCAACCCTACTCTACCAAATGCACCCCTAAACCATATCTCCAAGCACCACCAGGGAAGTCTGTAGTCAACAGCACCATGACAAAATTAACCAGATATTCCATCAAGCTTAGTTTCACTTAGTAACCCAACAACATACAAATGAGGGAGAGTAGGACTAAGATAGAACCTCTACCTTTCTGCTTTGCTCTCTTACACCTAATCAGTCTTAGGTGGTCTCTCTTGCACACAAGATCATTATGTAGGTAAAATTTTCCAAGAGTGGGAGAGTTCACTGTTTCACGAAAAACATGGAGGAGCAGGCTAGGAGGTAGATTGCCAGCATGGGAAATTCAGAAAAAATGGCCACAGCAAACCATGTTTACATATGCCCAGGACCCCTGTATGGGGGCGACTGGCAGCTACACTATTCCCTGGAATGTCTGTGGTCATGAGCTGTGAGATGAAGTCATGACAGGGACCAACTTCCTGCAGCCCATTCCCAGACAAGGCTGCACGTTGGAAAATGGCCAGCCTCACCTCAGCTCAGCTCAGCTCAGCTCACCCCTAATCCCTCCCATCCCCTCAACGACTCACTTCATACCTCACCTTATGCTTCAGCTCACACCTCAGCCCTCGCTTCACACCTCACACTTCAGCTCATATCTTGAATTTCATCTCACCCCCAAAATCTCATTTCACACCTCACCTCACGCTTCAACTCATCCTTCAAACCTCACCTCAACCCTCAGCCTTTGCCTTGTACCTCACCTTAAACTTCATCTCACCTCAAACCTCACCTCATACCTCTCTCACATCACCTCTTACCTTACCTCCCACATCATATTGTACAGCTCAAACCTCACCTGTTGCTATCCAAACTCAGCTTCAGCTACTGTACATGGAAGTTTCTTTAGCCTTTCAAGCTTCTGGTCAGCATTTAGAGCAAAAATGGTGAGCAAAGTTTTTTTTTTTCCGATTAAGAATTGCATTAACAAAGAGATAATAAAATACCAATGTTCTGGGAAACAGACACGTGCATCTCAAAGAAGATGAAGAACAGAGCCAGCAGCATCTTCATCTCAAGGCAGAGTCCTCTGAGCATCCTCTCTGAAGGAGATGGAAAGAATGGCCAGTCAGAAAGTTGAAGAAACTGTTTTTTCAACCATGCATGTATCAGGAGGAGACAGCTCTATTGAGGTCCAGATGCATCCTGCTTTGTAATTTTTTTAAATTCTGGTGAAAGTGCAGAGCACTTAACCAGCTACCTGTTAATGAAATGGCAATTATTTTTACAGAATAGTATCTTTTGAACAGCTTCTAACCCTTAATGAATGGTCATGTTTGTGACTTCTGGAAGGCTGGGTATCTTATATTGAACTACTACTATTTTCCATTAAAGGTTTTCACAATATGATGATCCAACTTCTGCTGATTTTAGTGGGAGCAAAACTGCACTCTGAGGCTTAATTTGTGTGAACTTATTTTAGCTGTTCAGTGTTTAGATGTTCAGTGCCCATTGGATAACAGCATTCAGATGCTGAAAGTTTATGGAAATAAACTAAGAATCAAAGGAGTCATTGCTCTCCTGAGGAGGAAAAGGAGGAGGAAAAGTCCCATTAACAGTGAGCTTTTCTATTTGCACTACTCTGAGTTTGAGGAGCTGAAGGAATAAACCTATGCCAGATAAAGGCTATTTCAGTGTTGGCTGTGTTGTACTTCCAGCCCTGCATGGAAACCAGCACTTTAAATGTCTCTGTGAACGATCAGCGATTCCTGACACTCTCTATAAAGTGAAGCCCTCTGCATGTCAGTTCGGTTGCTAGCTGGAAGGCTTTTAAAAGCAAAAATAATTCATATAAATAATTTCCCAGTCTTTCACAGGAAATCTTAAGTAACTTATCCTGTAAATATTCTCCCCAATCTCAGGCTATGATCTGTCCATGACTGTAAACATCCTGCTTTATTGAAACGCTAAAACCACAGCTGCCTGCACTTGGAGCCAGAGCTGGTGCCAGCAGCTGTGTAGGATGGGTCAGGCTCCTCAGAAAACTGCTCACCTGTGAGGAAGAGCTGAGTAAGAAAGGTCCTGGAGAAGCCCTGCCTAGATCCTCTGCCGTTTGCTCTGGGGGCTGCACTGCAGGTTGGTCCATCATCTTCAGCCCATCCCTGTACTGTGCAGCAGACATGCAACAGCCTGGCACCTTCCTCACCCAGACCCAGCCCAGGACACCACTGCCTGCCTCAGCCTTGGACTAGTATCATCAGGGACTTGTAGTGCTGCTCTAAGTAATTTGATACTTTCCCCTAAAAATTCCTGGAAAGCCACATTTCCTCCTTTTTCTGACAGCTGAAGCAGTCTCTTGCAGGACAGTATAGGGGAGCTAGTTCTCAATCCCTGTCTTCTAAAGAGGAACACAACAATCTGATGTTGACCAATCTCTAACATCAGTGGGAGCAGTCCTTGGGCAGTACTAATGGAAAATAGGCATCTTCAGGTGCCAGGTGCTGAAAGTCTTGGCAAGTGGCTCTGCAGGAAATCTTTGTTGCCACTTCAGATAGCTGAAATGGGATATTGTGTTTGTATAATTTGTTATTCTTGTCTTTTACTGCTATTTCACATATGTGGCAAAATTCCAGTGATCCTCCATCATCCTCCATAGATCTGCTTTTTATTTACACTATAACTGAGAATATTGTTTGGCCCATGCTTGCTCTAAGAATGTTTTAATATCAGTGAAATCTGAAGTAATAGCTGAATCATGAATATAAACTGTGCATGTTTTCATTTGTTTTCATTTTATCTGACAAACCATAAATGTTCCATTTATTTCATCAGAAATAATAAGCTTACTTATTAAACATTTGAATTTAAACTCTGCTCTCAAGCATAGCAGAGCAAATGCAGAATTATTAGAAATACCTTCATTATTTTATCCTCTGTGAACTAAGGTAATAACCAAAATACTCAGTAAATGATGCCACTGTAAAACTTCAAAATAATTGTGCACAAATGGCTAAATAGTGTAATTAATTTAGGCATGCCTGTCCCTCTGAAATAGTGTTAGTTAGACTGTTCTTTTAAAAGCTTCTTGAAGGAGAAATTTCACATTACTGAGCAATGTTTTTAGGTACAAAGCAAACTTGCATGAAGAAAGGGAGGTTTGTTTCTTAAGGGTTACTCTTAAGAAGAGTAAGCCCAAAGAAAGAGAAGGCTGAAGGCACACATGCTCCCAAAGTTTAGAAATCATGAGGTTCAGACCGCATGTAAGAGTGCTGTTTTTAATCTCCAACATATTCTTTCACCCTTTGTATCACGCAGGGCATGTACAAAGAGAATAAGAAACAGCTCCTAGGCGTCTACTGATGACAGAATCCTTGCTGCAACAATACATTTATTTTGGGGATTATTACTATGTATTTACATATCATGTAAATAACATATGTATGTGAATGATTAGGAAACAATTGGCATAATTTGGAAAGACAGTAGATTCCCCCTGGAAGGAGTGCAGTAGAGTAAGTTAGTCAGCCGTAAGTCACTGTGGGAGCAGTAAGTGATTCTTTGTTTCTGCACAACCGAGCTCAAGTTCTCCATAGTTTTGCCCAAGGAATTTCAGGGAGCTCTGGTGCTGCATTCAGGATTCTTCCTGTAACAGAGAGGAAGAGAAGCAAGAAGCACCACACCTATGCTGCCCTGCACCTCTGCAGGGAGGTGACAAGCTCCTCCAGACAGGCAAAGAAGCTGAGGGATGCTGTCTCCTTCTGGAAGACGGTAGCAAGCAGGTAGGTGGATGTTTAAAAAACCCTACTTACCAGAAGCTAAATCTTTGTGAAGACCTGTCAGCCCACTAGAGAGCCTAAGTTCTATGATGCATGTTCAGGAGGATACCATCAGCAAAAGACAACCTCTATAACCCATTTCTGCTCTTGGAAGTGGTATTTTTTCCAGATTCTCCCTATATAACAGGGTAAGACTTGCATGTCTAAGGTTTATTGTTCATTCCCACATTTGTATCTGTTTTACTTTTTTTTACATTTACATTACACCAGTCAGGCGTCCTGGAAAGTGACGCCCACTACTGATTTCCAGGCACTGTTATTACACGGACCATTCCTTGTTCCTTCCACTCACAGAATTATTTTTTTTCTGTTTATCAAATCCAATTGAATTAGCTTTCAGTTACACTTTAAATATTTAAATTTTCAAGAAAAGGATCACCCAGCAACGTCTTTATGGCTAGCCCATTACAGCAAACATGATTAATAATAGTGGATATCATTCATCTCCTATAATAACATTGCTTTTGTTAAGTGTTGGAACTCTATGTAAGATTTTACCACCATTAACGCATAACTACATCAGTGTGTACAGCAGATATAATCTGAAAGACTTCATTTACTTTACTTAAGTCACTACCCTTTCAAAATCCTGAGCGCATAGTCTTACCCTGTATGTGTTCACAATTAAACATGATATATATGCATAGTACAGAGGGAGAAAGAGAGGGGAAAAAAACCCAAACCAAAATAAGGGGTTTTTTTTTGAAAATCAGTAGCAATTTCAGAAACTCTAATCAAAGCTTTTTCAAGAGTCATGTATTAGCAAATGAATACAAATACACAAATTTCTCAAAAGGAGAAATTTTTTACCGTTGACTTTTTTTAAAGAAAACCTTTCTTGATGAGCAGAACAGACAGTTTATAACACTTACCAAAGGGAAAGGTGTCTGAACGGATCATTTCAGACCCATCAGGGTCCCTAAATGGCTTATGGAGACTAATACCCTTTTATAGGGTTTCAATTAATTT